GTGGGTATAACGTGTGTGTATATATATAACGTGTGTGTATAACGTGTGTGTGGGTATAACGTGTGTGTGTGGGTATAACGTGTGTGTGTGTAGCTATAACGTGCATGTGTGGGTATAACGTGTGTGTAGGTATAACGTGTGTGTGTATAACGTGTGTGTGTGGGTATAACGGGTGTGTGTGTGGGTATAACGTGTGTGTGTGTATAACGTGTGTGTGTGTAGGTATAACGTACGTGTGTGTGTGGGTATAACGTGTGTGTAGGTATAACGTGTGTGTGTATAACGTGTGTGTGTGGGTATAACGTGTGTGTGTATAACGTGTGTGAATAACGTGTGTGTAGGTATAACGTGTGTGTGTATAACGTGTGTGTGTATAACGTGTGTGTATATAACGTGTGTGTGTGTGGGTACGATGAGTCGGTGTACGGAGGGGTGGCGCGGTGGTCAGCACGCTGCGCCACGAACCCGGCGAACAGAGATCGAGTCACGGCCACCGTTAAAAGATCAGTGGCGAATATCTATGAACCGTTCCTGGGACCTCCCACCCCACCCGCCTATGTCGACTCAGCCTTAAATGAGTACCTGGTGCGGTGTGCAAACATTCGCAGTTGGGGAGACAAAGACGGCCGGGCGTGTCGCTGGCCACCCCACGCCTCGTGTCGCGTGTCGGCCTTCATATGGGTCAGGGGTCGGCAACCAAAATTACAAGAAGAGACATTTTTTATCGAATTCGGTGACAAAACACCCTAAATATTTAAAGCGCCGCAGTGCACTGTGGTGAGCACGAGACGGCGGGGTCCTTGATAAACAACGCCACGAAGCAGATTGCCGATTCCTGCTATAGGAGCTCACTAAAAGCACTTTCCACAATCATCTGTGTAGGCTACACGGAATACCTTTGCCTTGTTTTGTCTACATTATTGTTCTTCATGTTAGGAAGGCTAATGGAGCTGCCTCTGCGTGTGTGTCTGTGTCAAGGTTGCGCTTGCAGGTAACAAGGCCACCCACGGGCACGTTTCTTGGTGTGAGCGTGCTGAATTTCCCTTAATAGGTGCTCGCTAACAACACCTGCTAATTCTAGATTTAAAGCTTTCGTGACTGCAAGGATCCATACTCTTTGGTTCTATTCGGTAAAGTCACGTAGGTAAAAAAATAAAACAAAAATCACGACGTTTCGGCCACAACACAAGTGGCCTTCATCAGGTGAAGGGACCAGTGTGGTCCCTTCACCTGATGTGTGTGTATAACACAAGTGGCCTTCATCAGGTGAAGGGACCAGTGTGGTCCCTTCACCTGATAAAGGCCACTTGTGTTGTGGCCGAAACGTCGTGATTTTTGTTGTTTTATTTTTTATCTACGTGACTTTACCGAATAGAACCAAAGAGTATGAACACCTGCGAAGCTATAACAATGATGGCCAAAATAACTTTCAGCACGTTTTCAATCAATTGCTGGACGAAGGCCGCCCTACGCCATATCGGTCATGGGGGAGGGTTGACCATACTTCACCACTAAGGACTGGTTCAGATATCACTCGCCACTGATGTTAGCCCTGGCCATGAATCGAACTAAGGTCGCCGGGTCTCCTAACGCAGTGCGCTAACCACTGCGTCGTCACTGCTCCGCCAGTAGTTAACGAATTCCCAAACATGATTTTTTAAATCTATATTGTTATAATAAAGCGTGCATTTGTACAAAAGCGATTGTGTAAATATTGGGCAAAGGGGATGGTGTGAGTTTGTGTGCGCGTGCACATCGGAGAGTGGGGCGCGGTAGTGTAGCGGTTAGCGCTATGCTGCGCTACGAACCTGGCGACTCGAGTTTGATTCCCGCTCACGGCCAACACCAGTGACCATTATTTGAACCGGTCCTGGGCCTCCCCTAGCTCGACTCAGACTCAAATGAGTGCCTGGTGCTGTGTGTAAACATCGCTACTGGGGAGACAAAGGCGGTCGGGCGTAGTGCTTGTCACCCACCCCCTCGTGTACCGTTCCGGCATTCATAGGTGCTCGCTAACAGCACTTGCCTGAACCGTCTGTTACAACTATACGATGGATCTTTGTCTATGTTTGTACATCGGAGAAAGTGTGTGCGCAGGTACTGTAGACCCTGTCACGTGCCGAAGTAGGATGTGTACAAGACACTTTCATTTATTTGTGCGGATGGACGGATCTGCAAGGAGGCGGATTATGTGTTTATTTGTCCTGTTATTCATCTTCTGCAGAATGACGAAAACTTGTTGTTTCATGTTGTGTAGTCGATCGTGTTGCGTACATCTTGGACCCAAATCTAACAGAGACGCTCCTGACATATGAACATCCGGCAGTTTCAGCATTAGGTCCAGCAAGCCTGACTGCTGATGAATAACTTCAAAATCGAAAACCGCTCCAGAATTGTGCTTGTGCCGACAGTGTGCACTCCCAGAAGGCCGTGCGGCTGGTGGGATGAGTAAAATCAATATTTTGCATGTGGAGGGACAGACAAGTGGAGGCTCATTGCTTAATTATCTCGTCAAATCGGACGACGAAGTTTTATTTCCGGCGCGGTTTGGGGACACGCGGCACGCGGGCCACAGCCACGTGGGTGCCACGTGGAGGTCAACGACTTCCTAATGGCCCGCAAGCGACATATGCACGTAGAGTATGCACAGTTATCTTGAACTTCTTTCTAACCGTACGTAGCCACAACGGTACTAATCGGAGGTGCCGGGGAAGGACAACAAACTAAGCACACAAAGCAGTTGTACAGACGCGACATGCTGTCCGTCACTGCCGACCATCTTCGCCTTAAACAAGACAAAGGGGTCAAGCGATTGGACACCTCTGAGATGCCCGGTCTAGCACCCACAATGCACCGTCGTACAATGTGGAGATCTCCGCGTTTCACGGTTGTGGGAGCCTCCTCCACTGTGAAGCAACAACGATTTAATTACAACTCCACCTGTAGACACACACACAGGGTGTGGTGAGGATTACAGCTCCACCTGTAGACACACACACAGGGTGTGGTGAGGATTACAGCTCCACCTGTAGACACACAGCGTGTGGTGAGGAGTACAGCTCCACCTGTAGACACACACACAGGGTGTGGTGAGGATTACAGCTCCACCTGTAGACACACACAGCGTGTGGTGAGGAGTACAGCTCCACCTGTAGACACACACACACGGTGTGGTGAGGATTACAGCTCCACCTGTAGACACACACAGCGTGTGGTGAGGATTACAGCTCCACTTGTAGACACACAGCGTGTGGTGAGGATTACAGCTCCACCTGTAGACACACAGCGTGTGGTGAGGAGTACAGCTCCACCTGTAGACACACACACACGGTGTGGTGAGGATTACAGCTCCACCTGTAGACACACAGCGTGTGGTGAGGAGTACAGCTCCACCTGTAGACACACACACACACGGTGTGGTGAGGATTACAGCTCCACTTGTAGACACACACAGGGAGTGGTGAGGATTACAGCTCCACCTGTAGACACACACAGCGAGTGGTGAGGATTACAGCTCCACCTGTAGACACACACACGGTGTGGTGAGGATTACAGCTCCACCTGTAGACACACACACGGTGTGGTGAGGATTACAGCTCCACCTGTAGACACACACACGGTGTGGTGAGGATTACAGCTCCACCTGTAGACATACACACAGCGTGTGGTGAGGATTACAGCTCCACCTGTAGACACACATACACGGTGTGGTGAGGATTACAGCTCCACCTGTAGACACACACACGGTGTGGTGAGGATTACAGCTCCACCTGTAGACACACACACGGTGTGGTGAGGATTACAGCTCCACCTGTAGACATACACACAGCGTGTGGTGAGGAGTACAGCTCCACCTGTAGACACACACACGGTGTGGTGAGGATTACAGCTCCACTTGTAGACACACACACAGCGTGTGGTGAGGATTACAGCTCCACCTGTAGACACACACACGGTGTGGTGAGGATTACAGCTCCACCTGTAGACATACACACAGCGTGTGGTGAGGAGTACAGCTCCACCTGTAGACACACACACGGTGTGGTGAGGAGTACAGCTCCACCTGTAGACACACACACACAGCGTGTGGTGAGGATTACAGCTCCACCTGTAGACACACACAGCGAGTGGTGAGGATTACAGCTCCACCTGTAGACACACACACGGTGTGGTGAGGATTACAGCTCCACCTGTAGACACACAGGGAGTGGTGAGGATTACAGCTCCACTTGTAGACACACACACACACGGTGTGGTGAGGATTACAGCTCCACTTGTAGACACACAGGGAGTGGTGAGGATTACAGCTCCACTTGTAGACACACAGGGAGTGGTGAGGATTACAGCTCCACTTGTAGACACACAGGGAGTGGTGAGGATTACAGCTCCACCTGTAGACACACACACACGGTGTGGTGAGGATTACAGCTCCACCTGTAGACACACACAGCGTGTGGTGAGGATTACAGCTCCACTTGTAGACACACAGGGAGTGGTGAGGATTACAGCTCCACCTGTAGACACACACACAGCGTGTGGTGAGGAGCACTGCAATATATTTTCGGGACCCCACGGTGACCCGAGTTCGATTCCCGCTCACGGCCAACACCAGTGACGATGAATAATGATCCGAAGCGGCCCGAGTCTCTCCCGGTGCGATGTAGACCCTGGCGCGGTGCGTCAACATCGCCACTGGGGAGATAAAGGCGGCCGGGGCGTGGGGTATTGGCCATCCACCCCCTCGCGTGTTCGCTAATTTAAAAAAAAATCACTTGCCCCGACAGTCTGTTAAAGGCCGCATAGCGGGGCGGGAGGGAGGTGGACCGGGGGGGGAGGAGGTGGACCGGGGGGGGCCGGGGGGGGAGGAGGTGGACCGGGGGGGGCAGGAGGGGGAGGAGGGGGGAGGGGGAGGAGGGGGAGGGGGCAGGGGGGGGGAGGAGGTGGAGGGGGGCAGGGGGGGGAGGTGGAGGGGGGCAGGAGGGGGAGGAGGTGGGAGGGGGCGCCTTTGTCCAGTGGCTGTGTGCGAGGCTGGGGTGGAGGAGTCGGCGTGGCTCGCCACGGGCAGGCCGGACCGGTTTCGGGTGGCACTCACAGGCGAGACGAGGATCGCTCCCCGCTGCAGAACCTCGCACCCACATCCCGGGTGAGACGCTCCCTCGCCCTCACTCACAGGTGAGGCTCTCTGACGCACACGGGCGATCTCACTCACTCACACACTCATTCACTCACTCATTCACTCACTTATTCATTCACTCATACACTCCCTCATTCACTCATTCACTCCCTCATTCACTCATACACTCATCCACACTCACATACTCATACACTCACTCACTCGTCCACACATACATTCATTCACACACTCACTCATACACTCACTCATCCACTCACTCACTCACACTCGTTCATTCTCCGTGCGAATCGATGGGGCAAGTGCTGTTAGTGAGCACTTAACGCAATGTTACGGCTGGATGGTTCAACACCACGACCGGCCGCCTTTGTCTCCCCAGCCTCGCACAGAGACCCGTAGACCTATCAGATATCTCTCCACTGACATTGGTCGTGAGCGCGAATAAAACTGCGGTCGCCAGGTTCCTAGCGTCATGCACTGACCACCGCTCCCCGACTACACACACACACGTCACTTAAATACACTCATCATACAGTCGTCAAGTCTAGTTGTATGTCTAACCATTGCACGATTGCATATAATAAACTCATTACGCCGCTTAGCACTGACATTTTATTCGAGTCTCGATCTTCGTACGGCTGATGTTGCTGTAAGAGACGCGCCGGTAATAATTATGACTACATCGAGGCGATGGTGGAGCGAGACAATTGAGTCGGGAATGAAACGCGTCTGTTCCATGAGTCCAGGGTTAGTTTAGCGGGCCAGAAGCGATTCCCAGGAGCATTCTTATCGGTTTCAAACACGAGAACTCTGAACAAGTTTCACCATTCTGGGTCTCATCAGCAGCAGCAGGCTGTTTAATCAAATGCTGCTGGATTGTACAAGACTATATTTAAAACATTTAAACCCTTTATTAGATCAGGTAAGGCCCACTGCGCTTTAAAGCTTTTGTATACATTTGCACAAATAACGCAGTGGCGTTATTTGTGCAAATGTATAGCAACCGGAGAATGCGGAGAAAAATCCACGCGGCCACCGGGAGAAAGACACGCAGACTCCAAATAATACAGCAGGCGTCAGGGTCGGGATCGAACCGACGACCTCCTGTAAAGCAGGCGAGGTAGTCAACATCTCCTAGCCACCGCGGTGCCGCATTATAGGCGACAAGGGCACGCGCCATCTCGACACGCGGTGACTCTGTTCACACACACAAGGCGATATTACAGCAGCAGCAGCAGAGTAACAACACACGCACATTCACGAGAATAATTCGAGGAAGGCACCGCTTTAGATTTCTTGGGACGTGTGCAATTATTAAAGAAGAGACTCGACATGAATGTGGATTTGATTAGGAACATTGATCAGTATCACGAGAAGCCGGGTAAGGCGACGAGCGAATTGGGTTCCAGAAGCAATGTGGACAATTTGATGGTAACTGGGTGGAGAATCGAGTGCAAAGTTCCGGAGTAAATATTACGGAGAGAGAGCTACAGGGAAGAAAAGAAGGCGGTGACGGCAGACGTCTGAGAAAGGAGACGGGTGGCGTAGAGACGAGTTCGCAGAATGCAGTTCAAACTTTGGTACGCCTAAATGGGCGCGTTTACGTGAATGTTGGACTTCTTTTGCACCGTACGTAGCCAACCGCGCTAATCGGAGGTGCCGTGGAAGGACAACAAGCTAAAAACAAGAAGCAGTTCTAAAGAAATTAGTTTTCAATCTAGGTGTACGTGTATGGGTGGGTACGTGTATGGGTGGTACGTGTATGGGTGGGTATGTGTATGGGTGGGTACGTGTATGGGTGAGTACGTGTATGGGTGGGTATGTGTATGGGTGAGTACGTGTATGGGTGAGTACGTGTATGGGTGGTACGTGTTGTGTTGACCGTGTGAATTAGTCGTTCACTAAGCTAGGAATCTGCGATTTGGCTGTTGGAGTTTATATATTTTCTTAAAAGCTGTAAGCAAGGATGCAGAACATTTTATTTTAAATAGTAATAAGCAAAAGAAGACAAATAGCCAACTTGTAGTTTACACTATCACTTGCCGTGCAGTTTTTTTGAGAATAAATCTCAAAGATATATTTTTTTCAATCACTTAAATGTTTCGTGTAATTTGTGTTCGTTGCCGTCAAGAGAGAGGCGTGGGGGGTGGGACGGGGCCGTCGTAGCTGGGCGATGTGCTCGAGGATCCCAGGGACGTGGAGAGACTTGGCATCGGGGAACGGGGACCCGCTGACCACCGTCTTAGGGGCCGGCCATAAATGACGTCACGCACCTAGGGGGGGGGGGGGGGAGCGGTCAGACATTTGTGACGATGTGTGAGAAATGTGACGTCACATCACTATGCGCAACTTTAAATAAATATAGACAACACGTTCTACTTAATTAAATATACTTTTTAATAAATGCTTTCTCCTACAACATCAGAGTCCAGCGCCACATTAAATACGCACTACAATGACAATAGTTTAAAGCGATTTGAAGCATGTTTTATTTTGGGGGGAGGGCAGAGATTTGTGACGTCATATTTGAGGGGGGGGTCTGAGTTTTTGTGACGCCGTGTGACGAAGGGGGGGGGGGGGTCAAAATTCGTCCAAAATCGCGTGACGTCATTTATGGACGGCCCCTTAGCCCGTAGCCACTCACAACCGTGGCCGGGTGCCGAACTCGGGCAGCCGGGTTCCGACCGCTGCTCCGCCGCTCCCACCCGCTCCCCACTTAAAACGTACACCTGGTTCATCTGTTACCTAGTTCACCAAATCAAGTCAACAATCTGCTCCTCTTACACTCGCTCAGTGTCATGGCAGTGTCCCATCACCTGTATCGGGTTTCCGTGTGTGCAGAGCGGTGTTGTGTGTTTTGTTGTGTGTGTGTGTGTCCGCGTGCTTTTTCGCTTCAAACCCGGCGACCCGAGTTTGATTCCTGCCGACAGCCGGAACAGCGATGATGAATATTTGTCTTGGCCCAGTAGTATGTCTATATAGTAGTATGTCTATATAGTAGTATGTCTATATAGTAGTATGTCTATATAGTAGTATGTCTATATAGTAGTATGTCTATATAGTAGTATGTCTATATAGTAGTATGTCTATATAGTAGTATGTCTATATAGTAGTATGTCTATATAGTAGTATGTCTATATAGTAGTATGTCTATATAGTAGTATGTCTATATAGTAGTATGTCTATATAGTATTATGTCTATATAGTAGTATGTCTATATAGTAGTATGTCTATATAGTAGTATGTCTATATAGTAGTATGTCTATATAGTAGTATGTCTATATAGTAGTATGTCTATATAGTAGTATGTCTATATAGTAGTATGTCTATATAGTAGTATGTCTATATAGTAGTATGTCTATATAGTAGTATGTCTATATAGTAGTATGTCTATATAGTGTCTAAATTTTGACTTAACTTTCGTGACTGCAGGATATTCTATGGTTCTAGATTTGAAGCTTTCGTGACTGCAAGGATTCATACTCTTTGTTTTTTTTTTCGGTAAAGTCACGTAGGTAAAATAAAAGAAAACTAAATTAAATCACGACGTTTCGGAGGCAACACAAGCTTCCGTCTTCAGGTGGAACAGTCACAGCAGAATAGGTGTGCCAAGTGGGCAGCTCTTGAGACGACCGGGCGGCATCTTTTGAGGAAGATTAGCGTCTCAATGAGCTGTGACTTCTTATCTCGTTGTCTGTTAAAAGCTCTAACACATAGGTGAAAATCCTCCCCGTAGAGGTCATTAATTCTGTGACTGTTCCACCTTAAGACGGAAGCTTGTGTTGCCTCCGAAACGTCGTGATTTAATTTAGTTTTATTTTATTTTACCTACGTGACTTTGCCGAAAAAACTAAAGAGTATTCTATGGTTCTTTCGGTAAAGTCACGTAGATAGAAAAAATAACAATAAAATAACAAATAAAGTTAATAAAAAATATCACGACGTTTCGACCGCAACACAAGCAATCGTCTTCTACCTACGTGACTTTATCGAAAGACCCAACGAGTATGAACGCCTGCAGTCACGAAAGCTTTAAGTCAAGATTCATAGAATACGTGTTTGTCTATATAGGGCACCGCGGAGGCGAGATGTTAACTCCCGGCTTTATATACAGGAGGTCGTGGGTTCGATCCCGACCCTGACGCCTGCTGTACGTTTGGAGTTTGCGCGTCTCTCTCCCTCCCGCGTGATTTTCTCCCATACAGAGCAGAGGGAATGGTAAGTTGTACACGCACAGTCTGCAGCAGCAGTAAACTCTACAACGGAACAAAACTATTTCTATTTTCCCAGCTATGATCCCACTGAGCTATGTAGAAGCGACCTGGCTATCACCAATGACAGCTCAACGAAGTGGCTTATCGGATGGAAATATAAGCAGCCAGATACTCTAGAACGCGCGTTTCTTAATGTGGAGGGGGAAACTAGAGGACCCGGAGAAAAATCCACGCGATCACGGGGCGAGAGACTCGCAAACTTCAAATATACAGCAGCAGCAGGCGTCAGGGTCAGGATCGAACCCACGACCTCCTGTACACTACGACCTCCTGTACACTAGGCGAGGTAGTTAACATCTCCTAGCCACCATGATGATAATGAGAGAGAGAGAGACACGCAAACTTCAAATATACAGCAGCAGGCGTCAGGGTCAGGATCGAACCCGCGACCTCCTGTATACCGGGCGAGGTGGTTAACATCTCCTAGCCACCGTGATGATGATGAGAGAGAGAGAGACACGCACACTTCAAATATACAGCAGCAGGCGTCAGGGTCAGGATCGAACCCGCGACCCCTGCAGACAAGGCGAGGCGGATAATATCATGCCACCATGCCGCCCCAGTTTCCATGATCTCTCCACTGCTGCATCAATGCCTCCCCAGTCCGTCAGGCTGTCACCATCACTCGCGACCTAATAATCCGTGCGTGTAGCCCCTATCACGCGAGCTAAATGTCATCGCCCCATCTCGTTCATGGAATTGGGCGGTCATCCCAACGTAGCAGGACCCTCCTGAAAAAGAGTCTTGAGAACAGCCCTTTTGTCGATCCACCGCTGGATGAGATGAGGGCCTACCCATGTCATGGGGGTTGTGTGACTTGTTTTGTTTTACCATACTTCACCGCGCTGGTCAACGTGGCGAGACGTTGGGAGTATAGTACAGAGCAGACCGATGCACTTTGCTGCACTGCCCTTTGTTGACAGCACAGGCCCTGGGTAAAGCAGTGTACAGTTTTCTTAGTTTTTTCGGTAAAGTCACGTTGAAGAGAAACAACAAAATAACAAAATATATATAAAACAATAAAAAATTCTCACGACGTTTCGACCATAACTCAAACGGTCATCATCAAACACCTGATGATGACCGTTTGAGTTATGGTCGAAACGTCGTGAGAATTTTTTATTGTTTTTTATATATATTTTGTTATTTCGTTGTTTCTCTTCAACGTGACTTTACCGAAAAAACTAAGAATATGAATTACTGCAGTCACGAAAGCTTTAAATCAAAATTCAGTGTACAGTTATTTGGAGCAGGCAGCCAGGAATCGTAAGGCTGCTGCAACTTCGTATCCTGGTTGGTGGGGGTGACAGCCCATCATCTCTACAGTGTGAACAAAGTAAGTACCACGTTGTGGTAAAGTCGACAGTGGTTGTGATATGGATATACTCGCCCCCGCCATAAGAATGTGGAATTTACACCACTCTCAGGGCTAAATAGAGGAGATGTTAAGGCTACACGGTGGATCTTTGTCTTCGGTGGCGGTGGAGCAGGCCGTGGGCCCATGTCTACCTCCGCCAGGGGCTGACTCGCCAGCTCGTCCTATGACCGCCGTCCTCCCTGTGATCCACCACTACGGCATGGGAAGGTGGCTGCTTTGGGAAGGCAAGGTGGGTGAGAGGCTCGCCCAATCACGGCCCTCGCTAACAGCACTCGATCCCCCGGGGAGGGAACTTGACGGCCGTGTGAGCGGCGTTTGTCTCCATCGAGGTTCTGGTGCGCTGCGTGCGGCGAGCGGTCTCCGTTGAAGCCGATTGCGTAGTCTGCACCTGCCGCCTTGTGCGAGCGATTTAGTACGGACACGAGTCGAGTAGCGACTGTGAATCGATGTCCGAGTTGTGAATCCAGCTGCTGGCTTCAGCGGAGAGCGAGTGTCGATACCACAGACTCATCACACAGAGACCCACAGACTCATCACACAGAGACCCACAGACTCATCACACAGACACCCACAGACTCGTACAGAGACCCACAGACTCGTACAGAGACCCACAGACTCGTACAGAGACCCACAGACTCGTACAGAGACCCACAAACTCGTACAGAGACCCACAGACTCGTACAGAGACCTACAGACTCATCACACAGAGACCCACAGACTCATCACACAAAGACCCATAGACTCATCACACAGACACCCACAGACTCGTACAGAGACCCACAGACTCATCACACAGACACCCACAGACTCGTACAGAAACCAACAGACTCATACAGAGACCCACAGACTCGTACAGAGACCCACAGACTCATCACACAGATACCCACAGACTCGTACAGAGACCCACAGACTCATCACACAGAGACCCACAGACTCATCACACAGAGACCCACAGACTCGTACAGAGACCCACAGACTCGTACAGAGACCCACAGACTCGTACAGAGAGCCACAGACTCATACAGAGACCCACAGACTCATACAGAGACCCACAGACTCGTACAGAGACCCACAGACTCATCACACAGAGACCCACAGACCCGTACAGAGACCCACAGACTCATCACACAGAGACCCACAGACTCATCACACAGAGACCCACCGACTCATCACACAGAGACCCACCGACTGATCACACAGAGACCCACCGACTCGTCACACAGAGACCCACAGACTCGTCACACAGAGACCCACCGACTCATCACACAGAGACCCAAACACTCATCACACAAACCCACAGGCTCGTCACACAGAGACCCACAGACTCATCACACAGAGACCCACAGACTCGTCACACAGAGACCCACAGACTCATCACACAGAGACCCACAGACTCATCACACAGAGACCCACAGACTCATCACACAGAGACCCACAGACTCATCACACAGAGACCCACCGACTCATCACACAGAGACCCACCGACTCGTCACACAGAGACCCACAGACTCATCACACAGAGACCCACCGACTTGCAATGTGTTCCACTGTTGCGTTGCACCACAGTCACATTTGAGAACTCCTTTAACTTTTCATTTGTGGAGAAGGTGACTGCACCTGCCGTGGCCGGTTCAGAAGCAATGCAAGGCAGCTCACTGCTTGCTGGGGGGGGGGCAGGTGGCCCCCTGATGGCTGGGTGAGGGTGGTGGTGGTGGTGGTATAATTCAGGACGGAGTGCGGCCGGGTCTTTCCGCCGCCGTGTTCCAGAGCGGCGATCTCGGCCGCGCGGTTCTCCGGCCCGGTAACAGCCCGTGCTGTCCCCCTCCCCGTGCCGTGTGAGCAGCCACCCAGACTCAAGAATCTGAGCGTCAGCCGTGAGGACGGGAGAAGCCCACGAGCGTTGTGCTCTCTGCTGAACGGCGCGGCCTAAGGAAGCTCCAGACGCAAGTCGTGAGTTCTTTTTTATTTCTTCTCCAGTGAAAATAAAAACAATGCGCACGCGGTTTTCTGAAATATTAAATGTTAACATTTATTTATAAATATGAATATTTATCAATATTAAATGTGTTTTCTGAAATATGTTTCTCAATCGATGTTGTAAAGGAAGTCTCTTTCGACAGTGAATCTCCGAGGGTCTGTTTGCTTGTTTGTGTGTTTCTCTCCCACTCACCTCGTTTGTGTTTCTCTCCCACTCACCTCGTTTGTCTCCCACTCACCTCGTTTGTGTTTCTCTCCCCACTCACCTCGTTTGTGTTTCTCTCCCACTCACCTCGTTTGTGTTTCTCTTCCACTCACCTCGTTTGTGTTTCTCTCTCGCTAACCTCGTTTGTGTTTCTCTCCCACTCACCTCGTTTGTGTTTCTCTCCCACTCACCTCGTTTGTGTTTCTCTCCCACTCACCTCGTTTGTGTTTCTCTCCCACTCACCTCGTTCCTGCCCCCCCACCCCTCGGCAGCCATTTCACCTCCTCCACCAAAAGCCACCACCACCCCTCGGCGACACCGCAAGCACCCGCGGCCAGGGACCACCGCCTCCACCCGCGGCCAGGGACCACCGCCTCCACCCGCGGCCAGGGACCACCGCCTCCACCCGCGGCCAGGGACCACCGCCTCCACCCGCGGCCAGGGACCACCGCCTCCACCCGCGGCCAGGGACCACCGCCTCCACCCGCGGCCAGGGACCACCGCCTCCACCCGCGGCCAGGGACCACCGCCTCCACCCGCGGCCAGGGACCACCGCCTCCACCCGCCCGCGTCGCGCTCAACCCCCGCGATGGGCGAGCCGGCGGGCACGGGGGACGCGGTGCCGGAGCGCCGGCCGCCCACGGTGCTGGAGTTCTGGAGGGGCAGCGTGACGGACTTCTACGACTCGTACGATGAGATGTTCGAGTTCTTCTGCGACAACACCACCATCCACGGCACCATCCGCCTCGTGTGCTCCAAGCGCAACAAGCTCAAGACGGCCTTCTGGTCGCTGCTCTTCACCGTCACCGTCATCCTCTTCTACTACACGAGCGCCCTCGTCTTCCTGCAGTACTACAGCTACACGGTGGCCGTCACCATGGGCCTCATGTTCCAGCAGAGCACCTTCCCTGCCATCACCGTCTGCAGCCTCAACCCATACCGGTGGGTGGGTTGTGGCGTGTGTTGTGGGTGGGTTGGGTTGTGGTCTGTGTGGTGGGTGGTTTGGGTTGTGGTGTGTGTGTTAATGCACGGGGAAGGCAGGTGGACACCCAGACAGACAGATTGGTGGACACAGACAGAAGGATGGATGGACACTTGGGCAAACATATGGATGGACACTCGGACAACTATACAGATGGACACGGACAGGCAGATGGATACAGACACGGATGGATAGAAGGACGAATGGACACGTGGATAGATGGATGGACAGACTGACTGATGTACGCACACGTGGACACAGTTAGATGGCTGACCACATCATGGACAAACAGATGGATGGACGATGCACAGACAGACAGAACGACGCTGGATGCTGATGGACAGATGGACGGACACGTGTCAAATAAAAAAACACAGAGGCGACCAGGCGCCCTGCGGCCTACACGGGGGATCGTTCTCTTTACCTTTGCCCCCCCCCCCCCACACCCACGTGTGCATAAGGTACGAGGTAGTGCAGAGCTCCCTGAGCCAGCTCGACTCGATGACGGGGCAGGCCCTGCAGCAGCTCTATGGCTACCAGCCGCCCGCCACGAAGGCTGCGGGCACTGCCGCCGCCCCGGGAATCCGGCTCGACACCGGCGTCGTCCTGGAGAGGACCGGGCCGGACACCGTCGGCTTCAAGTTGGTGCGCCCGCTGCGTCGGCTCTCGCACGCTCTTCCCACGTCTCCTCGCGCTCTCCCGTCGCTCGCCGCATCTACCTAGCGTCTTCCCGTCCCCGCCCCGAGTGTCGTACGTCCCCGTGCATCCCCGCGTCTTCGCCGCGCCCACGTCGTCCTCCCGCGCGTCCTCGCGCCTCCTCGCCGCGTCCCCGGCGCGTGAACAACGAGTTCCCGCCGCGTCTCCGGCCGACGTCCTCCGTGTCTCCCCCCCCCCTCCTCCTCCCCCCGTCCCCCGCTCCCCTCCGCCCCCCGTGCAGTGCAACGCGACGGGCGGCGACTGCTTCTACCAGTCGTACGGGTCGGGCGTGCAGGCGGTGACCGAGTGGTACACCTTCCAGTACGTCAACATCATGAGCCAGGTTCCCTCCTACATCAAGCAGTCCGACGACGCCAACATCGAGGACTTCATCTTCTCCTGCATGTTCAGCGGGATGCCCTGCAGCGACAGGCGAGCGCGTGTCAACTCGCACTTCGCATTGCGCGAGTTGCAATAGTTCGCATCGTTATTATTATGAATGATCACTAGAATGCACTTATTCATCCAGGAATGCCCGAGTGAGTCGAAGGACTCTTTGTATTTCAACTGGGTCTCCCGCTGCATTGGAGTTTTTTATTTGAGGATGTTATCGGCCAATTAATGACGAGTGTTTATTGTACGTGCGGGAGGAAAGCGAAGCGCCCAGAGAAAATCCACATGCGTGCGAGGGGGCAACGCTCTATCCTCATGCAGATGGAAACAGATGCCGGTTAGTTGACTTGCTGTACCGCCTTCTCCTGGTAATCAAGGGTATGGCACCACCTCGACGCCCACGGGAAGGGAGTTTCGCAACAACGCCTGGAGTAGAGCCAGCGGCCCGTGCAGCAGCGTAGCCACCACCACCACTGCCACCACCACCACCACCACTGCCGCCACCATCCGGCTGTTTCAGGAGGGTCCTGCCAGGTTTTTCGTAGTAGGGGGCTGCGGCTGCCGCTGCTGTCTTTTCCGAAACGAGTAATTTCCAGGTAATATTTTTTTAATTCGGCCGATTCTGGCCCTGACGCCAGCACACCATGGCCTACGCTTGAGAATGGCGTCTTTAACGTCCATTGTGAATGAAGCAGACGGTGTGGAGTGTCGTAGTTATTACACAAAGATCCCCCGCATAGACGTAGACAGACTGTCGGGAGAAGTGCTATTAGCGGGTAGCACCTATGAAGGCCGGCACGGCACACGATGGGGTGGGTGGCCAGCACCACGCCCGACCGCTTTTGTCTCCCTAGTGGCGATGTTTACTCATGACACGAGGTAATCACTTGAGTTAACCTAGTGGAGGCCCAGGACCGGTTCAGAGAATCATCACTGGTGTTGGCTGTGAGCGGGAATCGAACTCGGGTCGCTGGGTTCGTAGCGCAGTGCGCTCACCGCTGCACCACCGCTCTCCACAAGTGCGCAGACGCACACGCACACCGACACGTACCTACAAGCGTGTGCGCTTCCACTAAGTGCGGCTCTCTGTCTCCGCCGTCTTTGTATCCCCGGCGTGCAGTGAATACAGCCGCTTCCACCACCCGACTTACGGCAACTGCTACACGTTCAACAGCGCCAACTCGTCCAAACTGTGGCAAGCCTCCAAGCCGGGCCGAGACTATGGTGAGTCTCACTAACCGGGTTGGGACTACGGTGAGCCCCGCTCTGCCGGCTTCTCCCGAGCGCCGCGTCGCAGCACGAGTCGTGTCCCGACCCGGCCGACCCGAGTTCGATTCCCGCTCACGGCCGCAACACTGGTGACGACTCTCCGAATCGGTCCTAGGCCTTCCTCTCGGTCGACCTTGCCTCAAACGAGTTCTCGGTGGCGTGCGTAAGAACATCAGCGGCTCGAGAAGACAAAGGCGGTCGGGCAGGGTGCCGGCCGCACCGCCCCCTTCGTGCGCCGCTCGCGAGCGGCCGCGGGGCCGTACGGGGCGATGCGTTGGTCTCGCGTGAACGTGCGCGGTTCGCGGGGCGACGCCGCCGCCGTCGCCGCGTGAGAGTAAGCGCCCTGCTTGCCGTGCCAGGCCTGTCGCTGATCCTGCGCACGGAGCAGAACGACTACATCCCCTTCCTGTCCACGGTGGCGGGCGCCCGCATCATGGTACACGACCAGGAGTCGCCGCCCTTCATGGAGGAGGGCGGCTTCGACATGCGCCCGGGCTTCGAGACCTCGCTCGGCATCCGCATGGTGCGAGGCGCCGCGCGGGCATCGTGCTGCAGGGTGCCGTGGGTAGCGTCGGGCAGAGCGGGGCGCCGTGGGTATTGTGCGGTGGAGCGTGGCATCGTGCGACTTTATAAGGCGTTGTAGGATGCATAAAAGAAATTGTGGGATGGAGCAGAGCATTGTGGGATGAACGTTGTGGGGCATTGGTAAATGTTATTTTGAACAAAAACACGAAAGATTGACATTGCTACTCTCCTTCCCTTATTTGTTTTATTATCACTTTATGGCACCCCAGAGGTGTGTGACGTGCGGTGTGTGACACGGTGTGATGCGCGATGTGTGAATCGCGGTGTGTGACATGGTGTGACACGCGGTGTGTGACACGGTGTGTGATGCGGTGTGTGACGCGGTGTGTGATGTGCGGTGTGTGACGCGGTGTGTGACGTGCGGTGTGTGACGTGTGACGTGCAGTGTGACGTGCGGTGTGTGACATGGTGTGAGACGCGGTGTGACGCACGGTGTATGACGTGTGGTGTGTGACACGGTATGACGTGTGGTCTGTGACACGGTGTGATGCGCAATGTGTGAATCATGGTGTGTGACATGGTGTGACGTGTGGTGTGTGACACGGTGTGACGTGCGGTGTGTGACATGCGGTGTGTGACTCGCGGTGTGTGACATGGTGTGACGCACGGTGTGTGACCCGCGGTGTGTGACATGGTGTGACATGCGGTGTGTGACGTGTGCTGTGTGACACGGTATGACGTGCGGTGTGTGACGTGCGGTGTGTGACGTGCGGTGTGTGACGTGCGGTGTGTGACGTGCGATGTGTGACATGCGGTGTGTGACGTGCGGTGTGTGACATGCGGTGTGTGACTCGCGGTGTGTGACATGGTGTGACGCACGGTGTGTGACCCGCGGTGTGTGACCCGCGGTGTGTGACATGGTGTGTGACATGCGGTGTGTGACGTGTGGTGTGTGACACGGTGTGACGTGTGGTGTGTGACGTGTGTGTGTGACGCACGGTGTGTGGCCCGCGGTGTGTGACGCATCGTGTGTGACGCACGGTGAGACGCATGCCTTGTTCTTGTACAGTTGGAGGCGACTCGAATGCCCGACCCGTACGGGAACTGCACGGAGGACGGCAGCAACGTTCCCGTGTTGAACCTCTACTCCTCCGCCTACACCGTGCAGGTGCCGGAGTCCCCCGCCCGTCCCCCCGCCACCGCCGCCAAACCACAGACGCCGCGCCACGCGTTAACGGAGATGATATCGCAGACAGGGATCGGCGTGTTTACTCGTGTGTGTGTGTGTGTGCGTGTGTGTGTGCATGCGTGCAGGCGTGCGTGCGCTCCTGCTTCCAGCTAGCGCTGGTGGAGGCGTGTGGCTGTGGTTACTACTTCTACCCCCTCCCTCCCAACGCCTCCTACTGCAGCTACAATAACACGGCGTGGGGTAACAAAGACAAAGATCCCCCGCACTTGTTAGGGCACGTGCTGTTAGCGAGTAGCACCTATGAAAGGCCGGCACGGCACGCAAGGAGGTGGGTGGCCAGCGCCACGCTTGACCACCTTTGTCTCCCCAGTGCTGATGTCGAGTCGACCTGGACGAGGCCCAGTCCTGGTGCCAATGTCGCCGACGGTAGCCGTGGCTGGGAATCGAACTCGAGTTAGCTGACCTTTAGAGCTGTTTAGCTTGTTGTCCTTCCCCCACACCTCCCGGTTAGCTCGGTTGGCTACGCACGGTGCGAAATAAGTTCGACATACAAATGTACGACCACTGCACCGCCAGTCGCTGCACCGCCGCTTCCCGCTCGTACCACGCCACCTTGGGGACGTGGCGCTCCGTGGGTTCGGTGAAGACCGCAGAGTCGCTCTGCGGTGGTGACGCTGCGAGTGAAGGGAGAGGGTTGTGGGCGTTGGTGACGGGGTGTGCGGCCTCCCTCTGTGTCTGCCGGCAGGACACTGCTACTACAAACTCTACCGACAATTCATCTCCGACGAGCTCGGCTGCGTCGACAAATGTGCACAGCCCTGCACGTACGTCACCCTCTCCCGCCCCCGCATCCCGTCTGCCTTGCGTTCGAGGAATTGGGTTCCTTCTCATTCATTGTGGCCGTGTCCGAGCATTGAGCTGGAAACGGCGATATCCAAATATTTCGTCGCAACATCGTGAGATGTGGTGGTAGCCTAGGGGAGGGCCTTCGTCCAACAGTGGATAGACCGTGGCTGCTGATGAGTATTGAAAACAAAGGCTTTTGTCCCACTTGCTTCGATGTTTTGTTCCCAGTACGAAGCGCTTTGCCGTGACCCCAGGATACGCCGCCTGGCCTGACAGCAGCTCCGAGGTGAGGCCCACAACCTCCTGGCACCGTCAACCTCGTCCATGCGCCGTGTTGGAGAATGATAATGACAAAAATAATTTACGCTTAACACGAACGCACGATCACACGACTTTTCCATCCTCGCGCATCGTGTGTAACGTGTTGTGTGCGCGTTTCTGTTCCGTAGAAATGGATCTTCAACCTCCTCTCCTTGCAGAATAATTACTCCGTCACCACTGTGAGGTAAGACGCACACTTTTCTTTTTACTAATAACTTTTTTTTATTTTAGCAGGTCAGGCCCACAGCGATCTGGCCACAAATGATCGCCCAATAAAGTGGCTTATCACATGGAAATGTATAACAGCCAAACGCACGTTGATTCTAAATGTGGATGGAAAAACTGGAAGACGCAAACAATAAAAATATACAGGCGTCAGGTTCGGGACTGAACCTACGGCCTCCTGCATACCAGGCGAGGTAGTTAACATCTCGCCACTGCGGCACCCAGAAAAGTAAACAAAAATCCCCTGAAAAAACGTGTTACGACACCATAACGTTGCGCAACCATCGGCCTTCTGGGCCTTACGCGTCGCTGGCTCCCAGCACCTTCGTGCGATTAATCGGGCGAGCGCTGCCGCGTCTCCCTCTGTCAGGAACGACGTGGCCAAGCTGAACGTTTACTTCCGGGAGCTCAACATGAAGACGATCAGCGAGTCGGCCGCCACCAACGTGAGTCCCACACTCGCGACGGCCGGAACGCGCGGGGATGAGTTGTCGGTGCGTGTGAGCGAGTTGGTCGCGGGTGCGTGTGCGGAGAGTGGATGATGAAAATAACTTGACGCAACATCGCAGTGGGGTCTCGTAATTGGATGTTCGAAAATCCGAACAGTTAGGTCAGTGGCCTACTGGCCATGCAATCCCCACCATTATGGGAGTCTCGGGTATCGCGCGATGATCCCGTTGTTATCCACCGGCTCCGCATTCGGGCCGCCAGTGGTGTGGTTGGCGTGGGCCAACCCCCTGTCCGGTTGGCCTCGCCTTCGTAGGCCGCGGGCCGGGCCCCCGCGGCCCGCAGGCCCCGGTGCCGCGGTGTCGCCTGCGCGCTCGAAGGCTCCTCCGTGGGTGTGCGCCATCGGCGCCGTGTCGACGCGACGTTCGAGCCGACGCCAATCGAATCTCTTTTCTTCTCCTCCTCCATCCCACCCCACCCCCGCTCACCGCTCACGCCCGCAGGTCATCTGGCTGCTGTCGAACATCGGCAGCCAGTGGAGCTTGTGGTTCGGCTCCTCGGTGCTGTCGTGGCTCGAGGTGGGGGAGCTCGGCATCGACTGCTGCATCATGGTCTTCGTCTTGGCCTACCGCCGGCGCCGGTCGCGCGCCGAGCGCCGAAGAGCTCGCGGCACGGGCGACTCCGAGGCGGCGCCACCGCCGCCGCCCAGCTTCCGCGAGGCGCTGGGCTGCGCCAACGCGGCCTACGTCGGCGGTAACGACGACGGCGGCGGCGGCGTCGCGATCGGGGGCCCCACGGAGCGCCCCCCCCCGTGGCGACGCGGCTCGCTGACGCGCAACGCCTGCTCGTTCTCCGTCGTCGCCGACATCAGCTGCCCCCCCGCGGCGGCCGCGAAACCGACGGTCGGGGCCTCCCGCGACGCCGCCGCCGCGGAGGCCCTGCCGCCGGACTACGGCTCCCTGCGGCGCGTGCCCGAGGGGTACGTCGCTGTGAGCCCCGACCCCGGCGGGCCGCCCCGCGGGGGGGCCGGCGCGCCGCTGCTCTCCCCGCGCGTCTCGGCGCTGGTGGCGAGCGGCAGGGAGGTTTTGCGGCGCCGCTCGGCGTCGCTCACTGTCGTGTCCTTCGCCGTTGAGGAGGCCTGAGGGGGCCGCGTGACACCGGGCCCCCCCCCTTCCCCCCCAGGTCTCCGAAGGTGTCGGGGGGGCCGCGTTGTGACGTCGCGCCACCCAAGGGTTGATCGCCATGCGACGTGGTGAAACGTGCCGATTCGGGGTTAGATTTGACAAAAGTCGATTCGGCTCAATGACAATCGACAAATAAATGTTGCCGCGGGTAGTGCTCCCCCTCTTGTTCCCGTGTCAGCGGGGTTCACGCGACCCGGTCACACGGCATACGCGTAACGTCACCGAATAACCTTTTCAAATCTATCCCCACGCTCGCCACGCTTGCGTCGAATCGTTTTGCGCGAACATCGATAATTTTTTATCGCACGTTTCTGCAGATTATACCTCCTATAGTCTTCTGACATATTTTACCATCTCCATGCAAGGCAGGGGGCGTCGTGTTCCTGTGACCCCGAATCAAGACGCTAAATTGTGTCGCCGGTGGCTCCTGCTCAGAGCCGCGATGCATATCCCGTGTGCTTGCAAAATCGCACGAGATTCTTCTCAAATAATGTCGATGTCCTTATCGAGCATGGTAGTTAAATAACGTGCTCAATCGGCGAGCTTCAATTAATCAGCATTTCTTGCAATAGTTTATTGTAATTTGCAATGTCATCACTTTACAAAACAAATTGTGTAATGCAAGCTACCTGTTGTGCTTTAAAATTTGATTTACCGCTCTATATAAATCAGCTCAAGCCTCCCGTAAATCACATGACGTCTACGTGGGCGCCCCCACTCTGAACTCCGCCCACTGTGAGAACGGATTCCTCTCCGTGCAGCGGCAGCAGCGTCGAGATCCTGATGCAGCCTCTTCCTCTCCATCCTTATCTCTCCTGACCCTTCACTCCCGTTCCTCCGCTCCTTCTCCTCCCACTCCCCTTTCTTTGTCTCCTCTCTTCCCTCTCCCGTTCCTTTCTCTGTTTCCATCCATTACATCCCTGACTCCACTCCCTTCCTGCGATGTAACCACAGTTAACAAAGTTGCTCGTGGGTTCCAATTCATCATCCTAACGTTTTGTGAAACTCTTTTTTTTCTCTCGAGTGTTTCAGCATGACATTGCCAGCCTAGACGAGGTGTTGTAGAACCCGATTTCCCCGATTTAACCAAAAACAGACGGCACCGGGTGAGAACATCGCGGCGATGAAACGCGCTGCGTGGCGCCAAGGCGGCGTGCGTGCGGACGTGCCGACGATCAACGTCGATCCTTTTGCTCCCGATACGTCACGTAAAACAACACGCCACGTGAAACTGTGCTCCATTTGAAAAATGATTCGAGTGACACGGAGGCACGCGCGCAGCACGCCGACCCCGCACGAGGCGCCAGCAGGCAGGGGTGACGGAGAACGAAACGAGGGAGGGGCGTACGCGACGGGTCACGGAATTGCGGGGATTGACTTTCGGAATTGCTCGGGGCCAACGACCGCGACGGTTCACTGAATCGTGGGCAGGTCGAGTGGCCGGTTGGCCCGGCCCGGCCCGCTCGCCGATCGTGCGACGTAAACTCTCGCGCACCCCGAAGTGAGCGCGGCTCGGGGTTCGAGCCGCGCTCCAGGCTGCGACGAACGGAACGCCGCCGATCGGCGCGCAGGCTGGCGGGTGTGGGGGCACACGGTGGGGATTATCGCCCGCAGGAGGATTGGACGCGATGTGGTGTAGACGGCACGCGAGGAGGCAGAGTTCTGAGCGGAGCCGACGCCATTGAGCGAGCGGTGGGGGAGAGGGAGGGAAGGGATTTTGGTGCCGGGTAGCCAGAGCCCCGTTTTGAATGTTGACGATTGCTTCTCGAGGCAGGTGTTGTTGTTGTTGTTGCTCGCTGTTGTTGTTGCCTGCGAGCGACGTTGAACTGTGACCAGTGGAGCGACATTTCATTTAAACATTTCGGAGCCCGAGTGCCACAGTTCCGCTACTGAAGGCAGTGCAGTCCTTGACGTGGTGGTGGTGGTGCAGAGACTCGGGGCTGCTGCTACTGCTGTGCAACATTTCTGTGGTCCACACACACACACACTGTGAGATTAGAGATGGTCCACACTTGCTGTGAGATTAGAGATGGTCCACACTTGCTGTGAGATTGGAGATGGTCCACACACACTGTGAGATTGGAGATGGTCCACACACACTGTGAGATTAGAGATGGTCCACCCAAACTCGCTGTGAAATTAGAGATGGTCCACACACACACTGTGAGATTAGAGATGGTCCACACACACACACACACTGTGAGATTAGAGATGGTCCACACACACTGTGAGATTAGAGATGGTCCACACACACTCACTGTGAGATTAGAGATGGTCCACACACACTCACTGTGAGATTAGAGATGGTCCACACACACTGTGAGATTAGAGATGGTCCACACACACTGTGAGATTAGAGATGGTCCACACACACTCACTGTGAGATTAGAGATGGTCCACACACGTTGTGAGATTAGAGATGGTCCACACTCGCTGTGAGATTAGAGATGGTCCACACACACTCACTGTGAGATTAGAGATGGTCCACACACACACGCTGTGAGATTAGAGATGGTCCACACACACACGCTGTGAGATTAGAGATGGTCCACACACACACACTGTGAGATTAGAGATGGTCCACACACGCTGTGAGATTAGAGATGATCCACACTCGCTGTGAGATTAGAGAAGATCCACACACACTCACTGTGAGATTAGAGATGGTCCACACACACTGGGAGATTAGAGATGGTCCACACACACTGTGAGATTAGAGATGGTCCACACTCACACACTGTGAGATTAGAGATGATCCACACACACTGTGAGATTAGAGATGGTCCACACTCACTCACTGTGAGATTAGAGATGGTCCACACTCACTCACTGTGATATTAGAGATGGTCCACACAAACTCACTGTGAGATTAGAGATGGTCCACACACTGTGAGATTAGAGATGGTCCACATACACTCACTGTGAGATTAGAGATGGTCCACATACACTCACTGTGAGATTAGAGATGGTCCACATTCACTGTGAGATTAGAGATGGTCCACACACACACACTGTGAGATTAGAGATGGTCCACACACACGCTGTGAAATTAGAGATGGTCCACACTCACTGTGAGATTAGAGATGGTCCACACACACTCACTGTGAAATTAGAGATGGTCCACATACACTGTGAGATTAGAGATGGTCCACACACACTCACTGTGAGATTAGAGATGGTCCACACTCACTGTGAGATTAGAGATGGTCCACACACAGTCACTGTGAGATTAGAGATCGTCCACACACACACTGTGAGATTAGAGATGGTCCACATACACTCACTGTGATATTAGAGATGGTCCACACAAACTTACTGTGAGATTAGAGATGGTCCACACACTGTGAGATTAGAGATGGTCCACACACACACAATGTGAGATTAGAGATGGTCCACACACACGCTGTGAAATTAGAGATGGTCCACACTCACTGTGAGATTAGAGATGGTCCACACACACTCACTGTGAAATTAGAGATGGTCCACATACACTGTGAGATTAGAGATGGTCCACACACACTCACTGTGAGATTAGAGATGGTCCACACTCACTGTGAGATTAGAGATGGTCCACACACAGTCACTGTGAGATTAGAGATCGTCCACACACACACTGTGAGATTAGAGATGGTCCACATACACTCACTGTGATATTAGAGATGGTCCACACAAACTCACTGTGAGATTAGAGATGGTCCACACACTGTGAGATTAGAGATGGTCCACACACACTCACTGTGAGATTAGAGATGGTCCACATATACTCACTGTGAGATTAGAGATTGTCCACATTCACTGTGAGATTAGAGATGGTCCACATATACTCACTGTGAGATTAGAGATTGTCCACATTCACTGTGAGATTAGAGATGGTCCACACACACACTGTGAGATTAGAGATGGTCCACAAACACACACACACACACTGTGAGATTAGAGATGGTCCAAACACACACACTGTGAGATTAGAGATGGTCCACACACACTCACTGTGAGATTAGAGATGGTCCACACACTCACTGTGAGATTAGAGATGGTCCACACACACTCACTGTGAGATTAGAGATGGTCCACACACACTCACTGTCAGATTAGAGATGGTCCACACACACACTGAGATTAGAGATGGTCCACACTCGCTGTGAGTTTAGAAACGACAACAATACGGGGGGGAAATGGTCTTCAATTAAAGTCTGTGCAGAATATAGAATCAATCAAACACGCCCGCGACAATTACAGCCGTAGATGTAAAACCCAAAGACGCTTGATTAGTGACGAGGATATAAACACTCATTTTCCCTCCATCCAGATTTCAGCCTTGGACATTTCACGACGCCGTTCTTCGTTCACTGCCCACCACGATGTTGCTGACGCCGCGTTTCTGCAATGTATCCGAAATTGCGTAGCATGGGAGCGTTTAATCCGTGGTGTTAAAATCGTTTAACTCTTTAAAAAAAAAATCGTGACGACAGAATGCGTACGGAGTGATTCGCGACGGGTCCTGCTGTACTCCGAGCAGCTTTCAATTCGTGACGGCCACGCTCTTCCACCTCGTTTGTCGTGCCTTGGTCAACCCCACATCGTGACCTTGTCTACAGAGGAGGGAGGGGTCACCACGCGGTCTAAACAAAATGTTTCGCAGCATGAGTGACCGTGCGATCTGCCCTCGCCCCGTGACAGCCTGCAGCACCCGTCACCCAACACGTGACATTGCTGCCCAACATTATTTGATGACTCAGAATTGAGAAGGGGCGGGGTCGGTTGGTCTGCTCCTTCGCTAACAGCACTTGCCCCAACAGTCTGCTGAGCCTACGCCTGGGGGATCTTTGTCGTGATGGGGGTGGGGCGATGGAGGGGACGAGAGGGCTGTGGCGGGGCAATGCCCGGCGAGACGCTCACAGACGAAGAAGAAGAGCAGCGCGGTCGTCGTGTGGCTCACGATGTCAACCAACGGGGAAATCGACACGGGGTGTAATCCTTGATTTTATACTTAGAGATTGGTGCTCAGTGATAATGGTCATAATAAAATATTGGCAGCGTTATTCCGAGTATCGATCGTACGCCTCGATTATTATTTTATCATTAAGAGTATTGATCGCATGAATCGATTATCATCATTATTATTTTAATTAACGTAAACGCGTTCTCGGGTTTCTTATTTTGTGCAACGAGGAACGTCCGAGCGGTGCAGAGAAGAAGAATGGTGAAGGCGTGAGTCACGTGGTGCCGTGAGTCACGTGGTGCCGTGATGTCTCGGGGTGCCGTGTTGTCTCGGGGTGGGGGTCACCCCCCCCCCCCTCTCGTGTGTCCCCCCCCCCTTGTCCCCCAACCCCCCCCCCCCCTCTTATGCCCCCCAGCAGTCGCCAGCGTGTCCGTCACCGTACACAACCAGACCCTCAACGCGACACCCAGAGGGCAGGCAAACTCCTCGTTTAGACGTCGTTTACACTTCGTTTAGACGTCGTTTAGACATCGTGCACAAACTGCAACTCGCTAATGACCACCCTCCCCTACTGCAATTGTGTTATTAAAGCGCGGCGTTCTGTGTGTCCGTCAACTAAATGGTAAGCGCCTTTCACGACTGTATCAAATAGTAAATAGTAGTATCTACTGACTATAGTAGTATCTACTGAGTACTGACAATAGTATTATCTACTGACTCTAATCTACTGACTATAGTAGTAGTATCTACTGACTGTAGTAATAGTAGCATCTACTGACTATAGTAGTATCTACTGAGTACTGACTATAGTAGCATCTACTGACTATAGTAGTATCTACTGAGTACTGACTATAGCAGTATCTACTGAGTACTGACTATAGTATCTACTAACTAATCTACTGACTATACAGTGAGGGGAAAAAGTATTTGATCCCCTGCTGATTTTGTACGTTTGCCCACTGACAAAGCAATGATCAGTCTATAATTTTAATGGTAGGTTTATTTGAACAGTGAGAGACAGAATAACAACAAAATCCATAAAAACACATGTCAAAAATGTTATGAATTGATTTGCATTTTAATGAGGGAAATAAGTATTTGACCCCTCTGCAAAACATGACTTAGTACTTGGTGGCAAAACCCTTGTTGGCAATCACAGAGGTCAGACGTTTCTTGTAGTTGGCCACCAGGTTTGCACACATCTCAGGAGGGATTTTGTCACACTCCTCTTTGCAGATCTTCTCCAAGTCATTAAGGTTGCGAGGCTGACGTTTGGCAACTCGACCCTTCAGCTCCCTCCACAGATTTTCTATGGGATTAAGGTCTGGAGACTGGCTAGGCCACTCTAGGACCTCAATGTGCTTCTTCTTGAGCCACTCCTTTGTTGCCTTGGCCGTGTGTTTTGGGTCATTGTCATGCTGGAATACCCATCCACGAACCATTTTCAATGCCCTGGCTGAGAGAAGGAGGTTCTCACCCAAGATTTTACGGTACATGGCCCCGTCCATTGTCCCTTTGATGCGGTGAAGCTGTCCTGTCCCCTTAGCGGAAAAACACCCCCAAAGCATAATGTTTCCACCTCCATGTTTGACGGTGGGGATTATGTTCTTGGGCTCATAGGCAGCATTCCTCCTCCTCCAAATACGACGAGTTGAGTTGATGCCAAAGAGCTCCATTTTGGTCTCATCTGACCACAACACTTTCACCCAGTTGTCCCCTGAATCATTCAGATGTTCATTGGCAAACTTCAGACGGGCATGTATATGTGCTTTCTTGAGTAGGGGGGCCTTGCGGGCACTGCAGGATTTCAGTTCTTCACGGCGTAGTGTTTTACCAATTGTTTTCTTGGTGACTATGGTCCCAGCTGCCTTGAGATCATTGACAAGATCCTCCCGTGTAGTTTTGGACTGATTCCTCACCGTTCTCATGATCATTGCAACTCCACGAGGTGAGATCTTGCATGGAGCCCCAGGCCGAAGGAGATTGACAGTTCTTTTGTGTTTCTTCCATTTGCGAATAATCGCACCAACTGTTGTCACCTTATCACCAAGCTGCTTTGCAATGGTATTGTAGCCCATTCCAGCCTTGTGTAGGTCTACAATCTTGTCCCTGACATCCTTGGAGAGCTTTTTGGTCTTGGACATGGTGGAGAGTTTGGAATCTGATTGATTGCTTCTGTGGACAGGTGTCTTTTATACAGGTAACAAGCTGAGATTAGGAGCACTCCCTTTAAGAGTGTGCTCCTAATCTCAGCTCGTTACCTGTAAAAAAGACACCTGGGAGCCATAAATCTTTCTGATTGAGAGGGGGTAAAATACTTATTTCCCTCATCAAAATGCAAATCAATTTATAACATTTTTGACATGCGTTTTTCTGGATTTTTTTGTTATTCTGTCTCTCATTGTTCAAATAAACCTACCATTAAAATTATAGACTGATCATTTATTTGTCAGTGGGCAAACGTACTAAATCAGCAGGCGATCAAATACTTTTTTCCCTCACTGTAGTAGTATCTACTGAGTACTGACTATAGTAGTATCTACTGACTCTAATCTACTGACTATAGTAGTAGTATCTACTGACTGGTAGTAGTATCTACTGACTATAGTAATATCTGCTGAGTACTGACTATAGTAGTATCTATTGACTGTAGTAGTATCTACTGACTAATCTACTGACTATAGTAGTATCTACTGAGTACTGACTATAGTAGTATCTACTGACTCTAATCTACTGACTATAGTAGTATCTACTGACTGTAGTAGTATCTACTGACTATAGTAGTATCTACTGACTGTAGTAGTATCTACTGACTATAGTAGTATCTACTGACTATAGTAGTATATACTGACTCTAATCTACTGACTATAGTAGTATCTACTGACTCTAATCTACTGACTATAGTAGTATCTACTGACTGTGGTAGTATCTACTGACTATAGTAGTAGTATCTACTGACTGGTAGTAGTATCTACTGACTATAGTAATATCTGCTGAGTACTGACTATAGTAGTATCTATTGACTGTAGTAGTATCTACTGACTAATCTACTGACTATAGTAGTATCTACTGAGTACTGACTATAGTAGTATCTACTGACTCTAATCTACTGACTATAGTAGTATCTACTGACTGTAGTAGTATCTACTGACTATAGCAGTATCTACTGACTGTAGTAGTATCTACTGACTATAGTAGTATCTACTGACTATAGTAGTATATACTGACTCTAATCTACTGACTATAGTAGTATCTACTGACTCTAATCTACTGACTATAGTAGTATCTACTGACTGTGGTAGTATCTACTGACTATAGTAGTATCTACTGACTGTAGTAGTATCTACTGACTAGTAGTATCTACTGACTGTAGTAGTATCTACTGACTAGTAGTATCTACTGACTGTAGTAGTATCTACTGACTATAGTAGTATCTACTGACTGTGGTAGTATCTACTGACTATAGTAGTATCTACTGACTGTGGTAGTATCTACTGACTAGAGTAGTATCTACTGACTGTGGTAGTATCTACTGACTATAGTAGTATCTACTGACTCTAATCTACTGACTATAGTAGTATCTACTGACTGTGGTAGTATCTACTGACTATAGTAGTATCTACTGACTCTAATCTACTGACTATAGTAGTATCTACTGACTGTGGTAGTATCTACTGACTATAGTAGTATCTGCACACATTGGGGGGGGGGGGACACGCCAAGAAGCCCTCCACAGGACGTCTGTGGCAAAGAGCTTCACTGCTCATCGGATTCCTCCTGCAGTCGAAATAAAGATTCTGATTTGGAAACGCAAAAACAAAATCAGCACGTTCGTCAGTAACACTGTGTGGGTCCTAAAAGAAAGACTCTATAACAGGTAACGTTTCGGGCAACGGACCGACTTCATGGCACATAAATAGGCTATTAACCATAATAAACGTTACATTTGTATTCTCTGCAAAATAACAAAACACATTTTGTGCAAATCGCCTCACCTCTTGGATCCGCCACTGTCCCGCACTGATCATCGTGCTGAGGTATAGTTAAAACAACAACACACGCCTAGATATGATTCAGATATTCGGGTAACCAACCCTTGTCACGTGACTTCTCACCTGGTCCAACAAACTAAACCAGCACCCACGGCGGCTCTCATCCAGCAGTAGACTGGGGAAGGGACTGAGCACGGCCGATATTGTGGTATCGATCTCTTGCGGCCACGTGTTTTTGTTTGTAACCTCGGTCAAAGGTCACTGTGATGGGAGGTCAAAGTGTGGGGGACAATCTAGATTTGAAGTTTGTGGGGGACAGCAGCAAGTTGGGGCGCCGCGGAAGCGAGATGTTAACCACCTCGCCTGGGATGAAGGGTGCCGTGGGTTCGACCCTGACTCTGACGCCTGCTGAATATTTGGAGTTTGCGCGCCTCTCTCCCCATGTTCGCGTGGAGTTTTCTCCGGACCCTCCGGTTTTTCCCCACCACATTTAGAAGAAACACGTTGTGGAGGATGTGGCCGCTCTACATTTCCACACGATAAGCCGCCATTTCATTGAGCTATCATTTGTGATGGCCAGGTCGCTTCTGAAAAAAAGAGACACATAGCTCAGTGGGGCCCTACCTGGTTAAATAAAAAAAATAGTTTATATTAAGTTTTTAATTCGATTTAGCAAGTGGTGACCGAGCGGTCGGGCCGCCGTGTTGACAGATAATCGACTCCTCCGGCAGAGGGCGCCTTCACCCTTAGTAATTTCTACATCCACACCATTCGCGAAGTCATTCATTCCCACGGTGGCACTGAATGGGTTCACCCAAACGAATCATTTGTCGCTCACAATAACAACAAAAAACCGCCTAACGTCACTCACAAGACCCGTCGTTCCGTATCGCCAAATGTGGGGTTGTCGGCTTTTTACTTTCAGGACATCCACGTAATAAAATATTTGCTGACTGCTGCTGCTGGCCGGTTGGCAGCGGCGCACGGGCACAGCAAACGGCGCTGCACTCTGGCGTCACAACAACAGCCGTGTGCGTCGCCTTACAACGAGACCTATATAATAGGCGACGTTTCGGGCAATGACCCTTCTTCATAGCACATCACATCGTCACGTC